CCCGCCCCTCGGGGCGTGGCTTGCGATCATCGCAAGTACGATCTGCCTATGCAAGATAGGCAGATCGTACGTTTTTTTAAGTACCTTACAACCATCGCAAGACAAAAGTCTTGCGATGGTTGTAAGGTGTGTGCCCAGCCTTACTTTGCTTCATTACAAGTACAGAGCTTTTTTTTAACCAACTGGACAGATGGCATGTGCTTAGATGTGGGTCTCCGTATATGTATTAATTTTTTTATCTGTTTGCGCATGCAGAACACAGTAAACATTTTAAAGCAGATTGTGCGTCCAGGGATAGTGATTCATTCCTAACCACATGTAATTGTATTAGATGTGATTACATTGGGTGTGTCACTGTTTACATTCAGCGGCTGCCACCGGATCATTAACTTTAATGGGTGACAGCTGCTGCTTGTAAACCACAGATTAGGGCTGGTTCACACCAGCCCCAGTGCTTTCCGTCCCGATTCTGCACTGGATCGCATCCCCGCCGGCTCACTTTGTTTTGGGGCGGGAGGGGGCGTGGTGGTACATTGAAGTCAATGGCAACGTAGCCATGCCCTCTGGCTGCAGTGGGATCGCCCACAGCGGAACGAGTGGCACATAAATGACTGCATTCTGGTCCGGTGCGGTCAGAAAAAATGCTGCATGCCCTATTTTTTCTGACCGCACTGGAATGCAGGCATTGAGGTGTCAGGTGTTCCCATGCGGCCGATCGCTGTGCAGCTGAAGGGCGATGCTGCTTTGACATTGAGTTCAATGCACTACCACGCCCCCCCCTCCCGGCCCAAAACACAGTGAGCCGGCTGGGATGCGATCCAGTGCGTTCTGGCCCAATTGGGCCGGAACGCACTGGGGCTGGTGTGAACTAGCCCTTACGGATTCCCTTGAAGGAAAATGCAAGTTCGTGATGCAGGAATCCCTAATCGCACCTAAACTTACAGGTGTGTATGGGACCTTAAGGACTGTAGTGACTCCTCTTTCTCACCTTTGGAATGCTTGGTGTTTCCACAACTCTTGTTATATTTTCCATTACCGTATATAAAATAAATTGAATGTACAAGTGAAACCCCCTTATTAATTGATTCTTCTTTGGCTTGTTTCTGAGATACAAAAACAGCGCATGGCTAGTAATAGCATCATTTCCTCTACAATTTTTTGTGCTTAGATCAGGATTTTGCCCATATTTCACAAGTCTGAGGTGGATGAGTCGGACTTCCCTGACTGATTTCCTGTGTGTTGCAAGTTTGCTTGCAGACTGTGGTCTTTTTGTGTGTACAGTTTTTTAAATGAATTTATTATTGGTATTTATATAACGCCGACAATTTTATGCAGCACTGTACACAGTGCTACAAGGCAGAAGTGCTAATCACCACACCATAGTGCTGCCCACAAGGGTAATGAAAAGTGTTCAACCACCTTTGCAAATCCGGTTTATTGGCACAATTTACAGACTTTCAGTTGCTTGCAATGAAAAAATCAATCAGCGGGATTCCTTGTTGCTGGAGGAATCGGGTCTTATTTTTATTTTTTTTCAGCCTGCGGGTTGGAAGAAAAAAATGGCAGGTGTATGGCCAGCCTAACAAGGAGTGGATGCATACGCCAAGATGGCCAAGCTGTACTAAGTTGACACACAGTGAATGATGCCCAGCTTGACACAGACAACTTGTTCCTTTAGGACGAACTCCTGCCTCTTTCAGGTTTATACAGACCATCGAAAGATGTATACACTAAATCAGACCTATACAGGCCAGGCAGCTGAAAGCCGCCTTGTCTCCTAAGATTAGTTACCACTTTCTTTCTTCTGTTTGTAGATTTTTGTTATCCTAAATGCTTGAAAACCCTCCGTTATTTTGTCATTTCTGTGTACAATCAGCCCTGTTTTGTTAATATCTTTTACCACACAGTCTGAGCAAGTCTGATAACTTCTCCCCCTTTCAGCAGAACTGTTATCTTGCACTGCAAGTCTTGCCTCGCATAAGCCGTGTGATTTACATGCAGCCAGTGTGCTGCAAACCCAGTTTTGTTGTAACTGTAATGCCAGTTGGCTTGTATAAGAGAACTGCTCAGTGCTTTGTTTATGCTGTACAGGAACCATTGCCGCTAGAAAGTGCCCTCAGCTTTCTTTCCATTTCAAATCATTTTGTAGTCACCATTCAGCAAGGTATTGGTTTTGTATCTTTAGCCTCTTACCAGTCATAGTGTGTGGAGTGTGGAGCAGTTCTTCATTAAAGCTGAACTTCGGCCCTTCAGTCTTAACCATTTGTACAGACTCCTCTCCTATATTCGTATTTCTTACTCGTATCCCACCTCATTTTTTTTCTGAAGGACGTCCAGTATCATCTTAAGCTGGCCATACACTGCTCTATTCTTTTGTAGTCTCACAGCTGCCTCCAGGCCCTGTCCAGAATACCTGCTCGTTGGCTGCCGGAGGTGTTTCTACAAAGATTTTCCTGCCGGCTCCTTCGATCTGCTGATCGAGGGATGCCGTCGGCCCACTGTGCAAATTTCAGCTGGTTCTTGAGGAAATTTGCACAGTGTATGGCCACCTTAACTCTTTCCTCCTCAGATTTACTGTCCCTGACCTGTCCCTTTCGGCCTCATTCACACTGAGCGATTTATTGAGCGATTTTTGCAGCGATATCGCTCATATTTCCACACGATATCGCTCTATGTAGCTTCTCCAATCCATTTCAATGGAGCTGTTCACATCTCGTCGCTCAATATCGCTCAAAGCTCGTCGCTGGTAGCTTGTCGCTCCTACATGACCCTTTTTTTGAGCGATATTGCTCCTGATTGCATACAGCCAAATAGGAAAAAGTCGCGCGACAAGTCGCTCAATATCGCTTGTCACGCAATATCGCTCAAAATCGCATGATTTTCATGTCGCTCAGTGTGAATGGGGCCTTAATTTGGAATTCAGCTCTTTAACCACCTCCGGGCCGGCCGTAGTAAAAAAACGGCCGCCCCGAGCTCTCTAGATCTGAGCGGGCGTCTTTAGACAAGTAATAATAAATGTTTCCTTGCGTTTCATGACGGAATAAACTTCAGTCAAAGTACTGCAGCGCTGAATACTGAAAAATGGCCTGGCCAGGAAGGGGGTCTAAACACCTGGTCTTGAAGTGGTTAAAGCATGGGACTCAAAATCCCATATGGGCTTTAAATATCCAAATACAGCTTGTCCAGGAATTCCCACTCCTCCAGACTGACACCCACCCATCATGGGATTGTTTTTTTAATTGCATAACTCCCCCCAACAGTCAGCCCGCTGCTTGCATCAGGGCCGATTCTTTTTTAGGAAAGCACCATGCTGGCCCCTCCCACCAACCATGATCTCCCTGCATTGCATTTAGAAGCACCGCGACCCAGTGATGATGTGATTGTATCTAACATAAGGTTTGTAATAAAAAGAGAAAGGGTTTGTTTAGAAATGTAGTTAGTATGTAAACGGGGAAGACTAGGGAGGTAATAAATGATATACCGTAAGCAGATTAAACTTCAGCGGTTTTCTATTCTATATATGTAATAACATAAGAGAAGTGATGTGAAGCCGTTATGTTGCAGGAAGCTTGCCAAGTGAATAAAGATTCGGGGAGAGATTTTCAGCCGTTCTTAATTTACCACGAAAAGATGAGGAAGTAAATAAGCTGTTTTTCCAGAGAACTCTCCAAAAGCGCGTTTCTCATATTGTCATCTGAGCTGTGAGACACCCTGATAAGACTGTATGTCATTACCAGAGCTACTTGTAATTCAACAAGTCCGCTATTACTAGATTCAGTTGACATTTAACTTTTGATAGTGGAGTTTGTCACACTGGCAGAGATGGGTATGGTGGCCTTGATGATGATGACGAGGAGCACATTCCTGGTCTGATGCACGCTACCACTGGGAGGCACATATACCTAACTGGAGGTGCCTGTACATACCGACAGCAGTCTGCTTTCCCCCTTATTATAATGGTCTCTATACAGTTTGGTCACTCTATGGAAAATGCTGTCCAAAATAGTTGTATTTCAGCTTCACAATAATGGTTTTCATTTTGGGTAATTAAAAAACGTGGAATGTGCGACCGGCAACAGGTGAAGATTTCCAACACTTTCTCAGCTGTCACTTCTATCTGACTTTGTGAGTGTGATCTTACATTCCACAAAGTCGGATAGAAGTGACATTTCAGGACCGATCAGCTGTTCCAGGGCAGATCGGTTCTCCTGCACATACCATCTGCGATGCCGATCTGCCCTGGAACAGCTGAGAAAGCGTTGGAATTCTTCACCTATAGACGGTGTAATATTTCAACACCGAAAAAGTGGGCGTGATTACGTAAAATTGTGTGACCGGTCACACATTCCAACCCAGTCACAATCTTTGATAGAACACCTGAATTCTTCCTTGTGGACTACAGATTCCTCCCCTCAATTATTATGGAGATCGTGGGACGTGTTCTGATGTCCAGCAGTAGAGAACAGGGCTGACAGCACTGCTTTGGAGTGCAGCAAAGGCACTGTGTTGTTGGGTCCAAGAGCAAATTTGGAGCTCACTGGACATACCAGACAGATATTTAAAGGGTAATTCCACTTTCCCAGGTGAATTTGGCAAAATGGAATTATCCTCTCCAATCTGGCCTCCTCTCTAGCCCCCTCCCCGCCCCCGGCTCTATTTACCTTTGGGTGAATGCTCCTTACGCTCCACCGGTGCTGTAGTACTATCCCTACTCCGTACACAGCCCTGCACTCTGTATTTTGAATTATGCTCAAAAATGGCAAGCACTCATTGGTCAGTGCAGTCAGCTGACCATTGAGAAACACTTCTTAGGAAGTGGAATTGTCTTTTAAAAGAAAAACAGGCTCATGGTGGTGATTTGAGTTTATGCATTACATGTTCCTTAGTAACCCTTAGTTGGTGGAGTTACCTGTTAAGAACCTTTGTCTAGGCTGAAAAGAAAATTCCTTTCATATAACATTTGTGGCCTATTGTAATTAAGGTTTTCTTTTTTCTTAAAGGCCGCAAGTGATTCCGCCGTCTTCCACCCTTTGGACCGTTAACAAGCCAAGTGTGTTGCTACGTGACATCGAGGAGGTTGGGCAGCGGAGGGGTCCAGCCTTTCTGTTTCGAAGGCCCCCCGCAGGTCAGCGACGCTGCGGTAACCATGGAAGCCATAGCCAAGTATGACTTTAAAGCCACAGCTGATGATGAGCTAAGCTTCAAACGAGGGGACATACTAAAGGTGATCAAGAGTAACAATTGAATAGTTAGTTGTGAAGAGCAACTTTAGTGTCTGCTTTGTCATCTTGACCATTCTGTTTTCTCTTTGTGTAAAGTGATGTTTGCATTACAGTGTAAAGTTTCTGCTTGCAGCATTTGGCTACCTGAAGAACGTATTGCCAGTTACATCCGTCTATTCCTGTTTCATTTATCTGCCTCTTTTATGGTTAACAACCAAAAGCTTTTTGCAGTTTCCACAAACCACATCCACTGCAATTTCCTGGATTAGGTTTCTTGTCATTCTGTACATCTGCTGCTTCTTTTATATCCATTTTAAAACCTTCTTTGTATTGTTCAATATTACATGTTTTGTTTTCTTCATTCTGTTCCATGATATCCATCTGCACATAATTGGTTATTAAATCAGAGATTACAATCCATTAAAGCAGAATGGCACTCATTGAGATTTGTACATGTTTGTATTGGTGATAGATATTGGTAAGTATGAATACGAGACCAGAATTGTTAAATTGACACTAATCTCTGGAGCTGAATGTTAAAAATGCATTCAAGTATCCAAACTATTAACAAAAATGTATCTTGTTTGTGTATCACTCAGCTGTAGATCCTCAAATCATCTCTGAATTGGTAGTGACACTGTCCTTCCTTCTGGAGGGTGGCTACTTTTGTTCCCCATAGTCCCTGTGTGAGTTGTAAAGTAGTCACCGCTCCAAGCTCGCACCGTGATAGACTACAATCTCAATACAATTTAGTAAACTAAACATGAGATTGTAGTCCATCACAGGCGTAAGCTAAGAGTGGTGGCTACTTTGAGACACAAATGAGTGAGACACAAATAAGATACATTTTTGTTAATAGGTAAGGTACTTGAATACATTTTTAAGATTTAACTCCTGAGTTTACTGTCACTTTATGGCAGTGCATTCATTTTGAATGGATATCGCAGTGTACATAAAATTGCACCTGCACCATTTGTAAACATAACGCACAATGTGGGGAATTTATCGATTCTGGAGCAGTTCCTCTAGTAACCAAACAGATTCTCTCTTCAGTTTGTTCAGTTAAGCTTTGAAAATGAAAGACAGAAGCTGATTGGGCAGCTGCTTGAGATTTTCTCTGCTCCTTGTTTGTTGAATTCTCTTCACTGAGTGTTCACATCTTTGCATTGTGATGCACTGTGCATGTGCATTGGATTACCATTCAAAATGAATAGCAGCAGACTGTAGCACACACTCGCACATGCACACACACCTATGCGTTAGAGGAGAATTATAGGGAGAGGGAATTACAATCATCCCCATAATTAGAGCTTCACTGTCACACATCGGCTCTTATTGATCAGGAACTGAGCGATAACTTAGCGCTGATCGCTCATTCATCTCCCTGCTCAGAGCGGTGACTGGAGGGATGGACGGAAGAGGGGGGCTCACAGCTGGAGAGGCAGAGCCTGCTGTCAATCAGGAAGTGGGGTGGATCCCAAACAATATTGTCGGGATCCACCCCGGCTGCAGCGCAGCTCTGCGCTGTCAGCATATAGTGGGCAATGGCATACGACATCCTGAGATTAGAGATTTTTATGCCAGTTCTGTCGGATCACAGGAGGACATATACTAATGACATATACTAATGTCCTCCTGTGACCCGACAACTAGCAAAAAAAGGTTGGGTCAAAGTTCTCTTTTAATGCCTGGTGAAATATATGTGAATATATTTAAAAATATATGTAAAAACAAAGATACAATGATTTTTAAAATGTAGATTTTTTATAGTTTATGTATTATGTTTTTCTTTTATTACTGTAATTGTACATAACAGTTACAGAATTTAGCAAAGACGCACTACCACCTTAAAGTGACATTAAACCCTCAGATTTTTTTAACATAAACCAATACTGTAATGTGTGGCTTACTGTAATCCATGGTAGTTTCCCTTCTCTTTGCTGCTCTTCCTTTTAAATCCTTATCTCTTCTCATGCTGGGGGAGAACTTCCCTTTGCAGCTGAGTGCCTCTTCCTGTAGTGCTGGCTCAGGTTGCAAACCTACACACAGACACCAGGTATCCATTTCAGAGACAAGGCAGTCTGCTGCAAAACAGAAGTTCTCCCCCAGCATGAGAAGAGATACAGATCTAAAAGGAAGAGCAGCAAAGAGAAGGGAAACTACCATGGATTACAGTAAGGCAGACATTACAGTATTGTTTTATGTTAAAAAATCTGAGGGTTTAATGTCACTTTAAGGCTCCAGAGCCATTTTCAGGATGAAAGCTTATTTTGTGAATGAAACCTCCAGCCTGGATGTGATCACTATGTCATTGCTTACATAGGGATCACTCTTTCTGGTCGTTAGAGGACAGAAGCTGTTAGTGACGGCCCATTCTGACATTCTGTAGCTTCTTATTTTGGCTACAACAGCTGCTGATTTTTGGGAATGTGTAGTCTATTCAGTGTTTTGTTTATTTTATACACATGCAAAATAGGTCAGACTGGCAAACATTGACGTGTATAGAATAACTGACATTGATAGACAGGGTGTGTGACAAATCAGCCTTTCTTTCTAGCCCTGGCCTCTTTGACGCAGCACACACAGGCGATGGTGCAACCTGAATGCAAAATTGCTTTTTCAAGTTCAAAATGCAATTGTGTAATCTGTAAGATATTTTTAGACTAACACTAGGCAAATTTACTAAAAAGATTTTAAATACACATCATTTATCTTTTATTTTTAATTCTGTTAAGTAATTCTTGAGATTTACTACTTGGCAGCATGGCAGGGTTCCTGACTTCACTTTTTTCCACTGCAGCTAATGTATATGTTACCCCAAACAATACATTTATTTTAATTGATCGCTTATCGCTGTTAATTATACCTTACCGCTTTGTCAGGAATACATGTTGATCATGCCAGAAATGTAGCAAGTTCATAAATTCTGGTGCTCTCTACCTGCATTGCACTCTTTATCAGCATCTCCCCAGTCCCCTCTGTCTAAACAACCCCACCTCCACCCCTTTCCCCCCCATGTTAAGGCAAGGATGAGAGGGGGAAGTGTTCTGTAGTCCTGTCCTAGCCTGACAATGCTGCTCTTCCATTCATGCAGTATGGTGATTGAGCAGTATCCTTCCTAGCCAGGGAGTATATTAATGGCAGAATAACCATAAAATAAAGGTAAAAATAAAAGAAAGAAAAAAATCGAGAAAAAACCCCCAAATTCAATATAGTAAATGTTTGCTTTTTCCTAGATTTGCTTTAAAGTGTACTTAGGCCTGGTTCACGCCTGGGCGTTTTACAGCGCGTTCCTGTGGTCTGTAAAACGCTCAACATGTGAAAACCAATGATTGCCTGTGGGCATGGTTCCCACCTGGGCATTTTACAGCGCGTAGGAATGCGCTGCAAAACGCCCTACGACCAAAGAAGTACAGGAGCTTCTTTGGGGCGTATTTGCCGTGCGTATCCATTGGGATACAGCCAGGTAGCCCTCGGAAACGCGCGTTTGTTGCGCATTTTTACCGCAAATCGCTGTAAAAACGCGCGGCACGAAACGCGCGACAAACGCGCATATTCAATACGCCTAGGTGTGAACCCAGCCTTACACTTTTGCAGGCAAAATTGAGAAAACCGTCAGTATATGTTTGTTGTGTGTTCCCATTCACACAGCATATCGCTATTTAGCAGGCCTTTGCAAGCTTCTCTCTCAATTTCACTAACATGAAACTTTAACTGTCCTAATAGAAGGATTTAGGACAGACTGAGATCCTGCTCATTAACACCTTCCCGACTGATGATGGGATTATACCACCACGATCATTCAGTTAATTAATGACCGGCGACGGGATAATCTCATCATGCGGCACAATGAGCGCTGGTGCGTTAAGGGACCAGCGCTCATTGAGTTACTGCTGTTGCTGGGTCCCTTGGGGTCCGAGGCAGACCTTTAGCAGCAGATTAGGTGGTCACAGCACTATGATCACAGCGATAGATGATCACTGTGATCACGGAGCTGGCAGCAGCTCACTGTGTTGTGCAACTGCAAGCCAGCTGTGTGTTACAAATGGATACAAAGTATCTCTGAGGAAAATACTGTATTCTCCTCAGAGATACTAAGTATCAAAGCCCCTGTAAATGGGAACAAAAAACACCTTAGTGCCCCCTAGTTTAAAATAAAAAAATTAAGTTTTTACATTTTTGTAAAAAGTTTTAAAAAATACATTTAATTTAAAAATTATAAGAAAATTAAAATATAGTGCTGAGGAAGCTATTGAAGATAGGAGACAAACATACCACGTTCTAAAATTGTTCCAAACTAAAATTGTATTTCACTTGTAATAAACTGAAAACCCAGACATATGATATACCCTATAAATCAGGACAAATAATATAATTTTCTATTAATTACTTTCCGTTAGCTACCCTAATTATATACTTATTATTATTACCATAACTGTGAAAAATTAGTGGTTTTTTTGTATTTTTTAATTTAAAAAAAATAAGAATTTATATATGCATATGCCACATTAAATAAAAGCCAAATTTGTCCTTTAAAAAACAGTATATAATATCAGTATAATGTGCACTATGTAAATCGCTGCGTAAATTGTAGGCGCCATATAAATACCTATAATAAATAAATAATTGCGTAGGTGCAATGAGTAAGGAAGATGGAAATTACGGTTAAACAAACACATAACAAAAATGGCAAAATTGATCCGGTCCCCAGGAACAAAAACATTTCTGAAGCCGTCACTAAGGGGTTAACACACAGTGAAAGAAGCCAAACTTCTAGATCTTCAACCCTTTGTTAGGACAGACAGTGTTCAAATCTAGTTTACACTACTGATGAGATCTGTCCGCAGAGAACAGACACTTAATTAGAGCAAACAGTAACCTCCAACCCCCATTGCCAGTACAGAGAAAAACTTTTCTTTAAAAATTGAGTACGTATTGTGCAGGCAGCAATGTATTTTAAAAAAAAAAAGTTATGCTATGCGAATAAGGAAACAAGTAACAAACATAAAATAGCTGTTATGCAAATTTGACTACAAAAGTCGAAATACACGTTTCACAGCTAGGTGTTTTGACGCTTAAAGCTAAGTGCGAGAAAACGCTCAACACAAGAAATCCCATTAATTTCAATGGCCACTGTTCACCCCTGAAAGTTTTGTCGCAAGCTGTAAAACACCAAACGATGGAAAAAGTACTTTTTGAGCTCTTTTTTTTTTTTGCAGATTACAGCGCAATTGGCCCGATGGCTGCAGCCAACGATTATTTTCATAATCGATTAGTTAGCCGAATATTTGTTTCGATTAATCGGATAAAAAAAAAACATCCTTTAATTTAAAATAAAATATGTGACGATACCTGACTTGTGCAGCGCAATCGTCTGTTTTACTATGTAGGTGTACCCTATTTGTGTTTCCGTTAGTATACAGGGTTGGTGGATTTCCAATTTTTTTGAGAGGGGAATTTTTAATTAATTTTTTTTTAACCTCATTGCTATCACATGGGGGGGGCGCTCACAAGCCCCCTATGTGATGGCACATTGGAGGTGACAGGTTCTCCTTAATGTGACATCAGGTTTTTTTTTAGACCCCTAGTGCCACCTTTCCACTTCATTGGATTCAGCTGCTGAGGCAGCTGAATGTTAACACAGCAGGCAGTAGCTGGGAGCAATAGCCAGCCTGTTATTGGATATTTTAAATTGCAAAAGCCAATAGCAGGCTGGCTATTGCACCTGCTTACTGTCAGTCAGCAGAGGAGGGTAGTGAATGAGAAAGTTCTCCAATAGGTCTTCCTCTGCTGATTGACGGCAGGCAGTGGGCGGGTGCAATAGCCAGCCTGCTATTGCAATTTAAAATATCCAAAAATAGGCTGGCTATTGTTTCCAGCCGCTGATGAGAGACTCGATGCCTGTGTTCTATTAATCCCTCGGACTCGAGTCCAAGGTATTGACAGAACACTGGCTAAAGAGGGGGCACGGGGAAGCAGCGGAGGAGGAATATGGCGGGTAGCGGAGGAGAAATGGGGCTGGTAGCGCAGGAGGAACGGGGGAGCAGCGGGGGATTGCAGAGTCACCTCTGCCAATACAGGCGGGGAGAGCAGCGGGAATTGAAAGGGACACAGATCGCTGAAGCCAGCACCAGCGGGGAGGAGAATGGAGGAGCAGAGCGGCGGCAACTAATCGAAAATTAACTAATTGATTATGAGAATCGTTCTCATTATCGATTATAACCGATTAGTTGTTGCAACCCTATTTGGCCCCATAGACTTCAATGGAAACGTGCAGCACAAGCTGTTGGCTCATTTCTGTGTGTGTTTTTGCATTCACCGCAAAGTATTTCAGTCGGCTCGCAAAAACACGTGCCTTCATGTGTGCATGTCTAACGCATGCAAAAATGTGCAAAATACACTAAACACACTCGAAACGCTTAATAAAACGCAAGCTAATGTGCGCAACAACGCTAATTCTGTAATTGGATAGTGCAGTAGCTCATGATGAGGCCATGTCTGTACTCACTCCTATCTGCAAGCTCTGACAGCTAGTTGGCCGATAAGTTTTTCCATTAATTGGATATAAGAAGATTAAATAACTACCATCCTTAATTTAAAATTAAATACACAGATGCAATGTTACAAACAAAGTTTACTTCAGAATAAAACTGCATGCACAATTTTCTGCAGTTGCACTGCAGTGGAACATGCGGCATGGCGGTACAATGCGTTCAAGTGTGGACGATCACACTCTGGGTGGGAGGTGCGTTTGGGGTGCCATTGAAATGAATGGAACTGCAGTGCACCTCCTGCAGCAGAATTGGTCAGGTCGAAACCAAAAATTACTTTTTTCCACAACTTTTATAATTTAAAAAAAAAATAATTGTATTGTAAGCACATGGCGCTTGAATAGCTTCATCCAGGGAATGACAGCTGCCAGTGGCAATATTCCACAGACGGCAGCTGAATGTAAATACAGCAGGTAGTGGGCTGGTGCAATAGCCAGCCTGCTACTGGCCATTTCAAATTGGAAAAGCCAATAACAGGCTTGCTATTGCCCCCGCCCACTGCTTGCTGTGCCCTCCTCCCAGCATGGAGGAGAGAGCTAGGGAATCCAACCAACTAATTGATAATGAAAATAGCTGACAACTTGTTATCGATTAAACGATTAGTTGGTTGACTACTGATTGCCCTGCATAGTGCAGTTGAGCTTGATTGACTTTCAGTGAAGTTCCTTCCTCTTCCAGTCCTGATGCATAGGGGATTACTGGAGTCGGATACAAAGAAAGGTGGGAAACTGTTTACACGTATATTTACAGATATATTTAATGAGTACATTAGTTTTGTAAAATCTGGGTCTCTTTAAATATTTCTGCTTTAAAATCAATCCATTGCATATTTTGCTTTACACAGTCATGCTGTTTCATAAGAGGACAACTTTCTCTAATTACTAATTCATTTTTTTTTTCTATGGGATTCACTTTCAGGTTTTAAACGAAGAATGTGATCAGAATTGGTACAAGGCTGAGCTCAACGGCAAAGATGGTTTTATTCCAAAAAACTATATAGAAATGAAGCCACACCCGTAAGTATTTTTAAAGGCAATGAATAAAAAAGGGGATACAAATGTATTTAATGTAATGGGTGTTTTTTTTAGAGCCAAGAATCATGTCATTGGGACCTTTTGGTAAGCTGTGCCGACGTTTAATGCTTTTTTCCCAGGATACCCGAATTTCATTCAGTCAGCAGCACAGAGTTTGGCCAAGTCTAAGTACCACCTGTAATCTTGGTGGCAATGAGAAATTTGGTCATTTCAGGATACAGTATATGTACAGAATACATCCATGAATACAACTATTTTTTTTTTACACGTTTTGGTTAATTCTGCTACTTAGGCCTTGTTCACACCAAATGCAGACCAGATCCGGTCAGGTTTCTGCACATGCAGTGTAGTGGGTTGTGCCGCGTTTTAGACGCGTTTTGGATGCGTTTTTGATGTGTTTAGGGCCGGTTTGTTTTGTTTTTTTACGTTTATCATGGGCTTTCAGGCACTTGCATGCGTTTTTGATGCGTTCCAGACCAGATCCAGAGCAGGTAAAATAGGGCTTGCCGCATTTTTTTCATCCGGTCTGGATCTGGTCTGGATCCGCACGCTGCGATGTGAACTGGAGCTCAAAATACCATAGGAATACATTGGACGCAGTTTTGATCCGGTCTGCACCTGCTCCGGTCCGGATCTGCTCCTTTCTGTGGTTGAACAAGGCCTTATCCTGCAAAGTCACTCCTGAGCCTAGCCGATCTACATCCAGCACGATGAAATGAGACATCACTTTCTGCTTGTGAGCAGTGATTGCTTCCAACAATTTTACTGCTGCCAAGGGGGAGCAGGTAGGAGGCACAGCCTCTGCGATGACTTTCTAAAGATGGCTTTAGTGCGAGACAACAAATGGAGAGGGGCAGGGTGGCGGCATCCAGGGTGAAGCGCCCTTTCCAGACCCAGCTATCCCAGAAATGCCCTTAGAGTCTTAAGCTGGCCATACACCTTACAATTATCTGCAGATTTTCTGTGGTCAGATGGAAAAGGTGCAACAGATTCCTCCATCTACTCTAAACTGTGTGGATGGAGTAATCTCTACCTGGGCCAATCTGTTGCACTTTTTCCATCTGGCCACAGAAAATCTGCAGATAATTGTAAGGTGTATGGCCAGCTTTATTAGTACACTCCAGAATGGAAAGACATGCAGGTTCAGCATATTCAACATCTGTGAGAACCCCTCTGAATGTGCACACATCTACCCAGGAACCACTGTTGCAGGAGGTGTCGAGTGCAGTGCAACAGTGCAATTCTGCAGTCTCCTTAAAAATGCAGGTTTAGGTCTCGTTCACACCTAGGCGTATTGCATATGCGCGTCTGTCGCGCGACCTTCGAATCGCGCGACAAAAGTTGCGCGACAAACGCGCGTTTCCGAAGGCTACTTGGCTGTATCCCAATGGAAACGCGCAACAAAACGGCCCAAAGTAGTACATGTACCTTTTCAGGCGTGGGCCGTTTTATAGCGCGTTAGGGACGGGCGGAAATACGCCAAGGTGGGAACGAGACCATTGAATGCAATGGGATTTATATTTTTGAGCGTTTTGTAGAGCGTTCGTCGAGCGTAGATTGCGCTACAAAACGTTCAGGTGTGAACGAGGGCTTAAGGGACATGATCTATAAAAAATGTGCAGTGCACAGCTGTTCTATGGGGAAGGATCAGTGACATGAAGAACATAATGACACGTTCGCATGTCACCCCACATATCTAATGCCAGCACATAAAAGCGGCACAGTGTATAGAGTGGACTTCCTAAGTGGTGGCAATCCACTGAGTTTGTTAAAAAAAAAAAAAAAAAAGGCTTTTGCCTCTGTTTGGAAAATACATTCTTGCCTCTCTACATGCTGTAAAAAAGGGCGCACCAGGTACCAGTGCGTCCTCTTTCTCCAGAAAATTCCCCATTCCATTGGCAAGGGCTAATAGGCGAGTGTGATTTAAGCTGGTTTTTTAAACCTGTCAGATATCACCGCTGTTTTAATATCTGTCCAAGTATACCCAACTTGATCTTCTCAAAGAGCACATACAGATGCCTGTGTTGCAGTGCATTAATGAGCGGACGTTAACATGGGTTGCGTGAATGCAGCCCATGCATTTGAATGGGCTGCCAATGCATCACAGCACAGAGAAAATCAGACATGTACTAGTTTTTCCAACACAGCACACCAAACCATTGCATTGCATTCGTCCATTGATTTGCTGCTAAAAATGATTGCCTCTGCAATGCATTGCACACCGAACGCACATTGTAGTAGCACTTTGTAAATATGCATGTTTTACTGCAGTGTGAACAGGTCTTAATGTTATATTAAACATTAAGAAGAATACATTTGGGGAATTTATCAAAACTGGAGCAGACAAAATCTGGAGCAGATTTGCACGGCAACCAATCGGCTTCTATCTCTCATTTTCAAATCCCAACTGAGCACACTGAAGACAGATGCAGATTGGTTGCCCTGGGCAACTGCTCCAGTTTCTGTCTTCTCCAGTTTGAATAAATTCCCCTCATTGTTTTTCTCTTGTTTGTGTAGAAAGGGAAAAAAATGATCTTCTAAATTAAAGCTTTCATTAACTCCTAAAAAGCAGCATTTCTGGAATAGCACAGGTTTGTCCTGAAACAAAATAGAATACTTCTGTTTTAATGTCTTACTAATTCCATCCTAATAAATAAATGCCCTCAGGACTTGTCAGCGGCTCCCTTACATTAACAACCACTGCTTTAGAAGCTCACAAGACGGCATGATACATGTATTTTTGTGCCCTTACTATATGTTTCAAAAGGCCATGTGAACAAACAAATGCAGAATGTCCTATGTCTATTTATATATTTTTTAAATGTACAAAACTACTGGGCATAAATGTGAATGGGATTTCTACTGGAATTGTATTTTTATGAAGTAAGAATATGTGATGGGACCCTTACCTTGCACTTTTGCTATTCTGAAGCAAAAGTTGCTTCTGAAGGGTTGTATTTGCAGATATCTAAGATTGTTATTTGATACACATCGAGTTACTTCCATTTATTGTGTACTTTTGTTTACAGTATTACAGTAACCTTTTAGAGGTTACTGAATCAGCCAACCTATTTGTACGAGTTGGTATAACAATAGCCTTGTGCAGAAAGTTTATTTGCTAAAGGTGCAAGTAAGCAACAGTTGGCTAGCTTGTTATCTTTGTAATGCACCATAGATAACAGCTGCAAGTTTCTGATTTTAGCTTCTTTATAGTTGGTTTATTTTTGATGGCATATTGCAGTTCAGCATACCTAGCCATATCGGTATTATACATGTAATTTATTTATCAGAAAACACTGATGTCTTGATAGTACGTCAAAGGACACAGGAAGTTAAGTTACTGTTGGGTGATTGGGCAAACCAGTGGGACAACCCTGCATAACTCCCACTCCAAGGCTGACTCAGGGGCCACAACCAAGAATTTTTTTTTTCCTGCTACCTTAAAGATTGCCTTTGACTCTCCTCTGCCTGCTTAAGCACTAGCCAAGGAGGAGAAAGAGGAAGTAGCGGTTTCTAGTTCTCAGGAGTCGTATCAGGAAGAGGATATGTCTTCTGACGTTTCCCCTAAGCTCAAGGACACTATTTCTATCATCGGTGAAGCAGTTGCCATTTATAACCACCTGTGTTACAAAGGTCATGAGTTTTGAATACTTGAAAGTGCCTAAACGTGCTGGAATAAGGACATCACCTCTTTAAGCCGTGCTGTATCTAGTTTGGTCAATAGAAACGGGGTCCAGGTGAGGAAGAACCTAGTTGTCAGAATTTGGTTGAGATGGGCATCCAATTTATCTAGTGACGACAATTTGTGTAGGAGGTCTTTCAGGGACGATAAGGAGGGGGGAGAGTGGGAAAGGTCCAGAGGAATAGGCATTACTACGGGGCTTGATGCATGGAATAGGCAGAAAGCAGGTGTGAGGGACCTCTGGGAACCCGAGATGGAATTTATGTAAGAAAGGACAGTTGACCAAAATAATTGGATGTGGGGGCATAACCATATCAGATGTTCCAAGTCCGTTGAACAAACCTGACATTTGTGGCAGGAGGTCAACCAATTCGGAGGGGAGTTTTTATAATGAAAGTTAAATGCGTAGAATGTTCTATGGATCAATTTAAACTGGATTTCCTGCCAAGATTCACATGCAATGGCTTTCCTAAGCGAGAGCCATCCGTGGAGTAGTAGCTGCTCGGTGTCTTCCAATGGAGTCTGAAGGAGAGCAGCCCACTTGGCGACATGTGTGCTAGGGGAACGGGGGCACAGAGTGCATAGAGGAGCGCAGGGAGAGGACAATTGAGGAGAAAGGCATTTTCTGTGAAGGCGAAGACAGGACAGGAGTCTCTGAAAGGGGGAAAGGGTAGGCAGTATTCTAGGGAGCGGGAGGTTCTTGTTAAAGAAGTGGGAAATTTGGGCATATTGTAAGAAATGGTTACCTGAGATACGGTAGGTAGTTTGCAATTCATGAAAATGTTGGAATTTGCATTCAATTAATTAAAAATGGATAGGTTTTATAAAAATGTGTATGCATGCATTTTTTTGGGTACCATTAAATTCCTTGAATATATTTTTGGTGCTTTTTATCCTCCCTAAAAGAATGTACTAATAGTTGATTAGCGATCAGAGGTTGAATGTCATGTGTTGTAAATATGCAACTTTAACAGCATCTCCATGCATGTGACAGAACTAACAGCTGAGTAACAATAATAATGGACATTTTTCCTTTATTATATATCTCATCTACCTTTTCTTTTTTTTTTCTAGTTGGTTTTTTGGCAAAATTCCACGTGCCAAAGCAGAGGAGATGCTTGGAAAACAAAGACATGATGGTGCCTTTTTGATCCGTGAAAGTGAAAGTGCCCCAGGAGACTTCTCGCTGTCTGTCAAGTGAGTCAGTTGTATCCAACTGTCGGGTCGACAATACTAATCAGGAAATTCATAGTGATTTATTGTGCAGTGTTAGCAGTTTGTACTAGGGCTGCAGTGAAATTTCACCCGCCAAAATGTTTCTGCCAAAATGGTACTCAGCCGTGTCACAGGAGGCTGAGCTCTTTTCCCTGCACTGCCTCGCTCGGCCTTCTGTTTCAAGCAAATCAGGATGAAGAGCGGTGCAGGGAGACAGCTGTCACAGGAGGTCGAGCCGGTGGTGCAGGGGAGGAGTCAGCGGTGTCACAAGAGGCCGTGCTCTCCACCCGCACCTCACTCAGCCTCCTGTGACAGCGAGTCATGATGGAGAGCGGAGTACAACTGCTCAGCTGATCGCTGAGTGCTTGTAAATAGTTGAGGACATAGTATAGTTACTGTGTCCCCCATTAAGAATGAACTGGAAAAGCTCTACATCACTTCCTCTTCATTCATGATTGTGGACATGGTAAACATTCTATCTCCACAAGTTATAAATGAAAAGGAACACTCGGCATAGATGATTCCTGTTCATTCATAACAGTGAAAGCAGAAAAAGAGACTGAGGACTCTGTGTCCTCAATCTCTTTTTCTATTTCAGAATGGAAATATCGGGGGTCTGTTTAGACCCCTGATATTTCTCCAGAGCCCCCGACAGTAAAGTAAAAAAATAAATAATAAAATAAAACATTTTTAGAAAAGTAAAAAAAAAAAACATTTCTGTTTTGGCCTGACAATTTTTGTTTTTCGGTTTGAAATTCCATTTTGGTGGACCTCTGGTTTGTACTAGGGCTGTTACTGATTAAAATTTTTGTGTTCGATTAATCAAAAATTTTTTTATCGATTTATTTCGATTAATTATAACGCACATACAGATCCAACTACATTGGCCTATACACATACAGCACAGCAATGAAGTAATAAAATGAACTAGGATCACACTAATCCAGCACGTTATTAATCTCACGTGCCCCACTCAATATGGTCACCGCTTGAGTGGGGCAACTTAGAATAATAACGTGCTGAATTAGTGTGATCCTAGTTCATTTTATTACTTCATTGCTGTGCTGTATGTGTATAGGCCCATGCCTTGGCTAGCGCTCGTGCAGAACAAGTTTCTTGGGCAAACCTGTTAGTTGTAACGAAGCAGGAAGTCATGCGGTCGCAGAACTCGATAAGTGTCGACAGATCACCGGCCCAAGTAGTTCCTTCGGCTAAAGAAGGGAAGGGGGAGAAGTCCGGTGACGTTACGGACATCAACGTCACCGGACTCCTCCCCCCTTCCCTTCGTTAGCCGACGGAGCCACGTGGGGAAGGTGGGAGGAGTCCGGTGACGTCGATGTCCGGGGACGTCGGATCTCCGACGGGACTCCCGGAAGCCGGCGGAGAGGTGAGTGTTTTCATTATTGATCAAAATAATTGTAATCGATCAAAAATTTTTAGCGATTAATCGGGTAATTAATTGTTAATTTCCCCAGCCCTAGTTTGTACGCATGCTTTTTGTATGCAAACTGTATAATGTTTTACAGGTGTGGTTTATTTCTTTTTTTGTTTTCCTTTTATAGGTTTGGAAATGATGTACAGCATTTCAAGGTCCTGCGAGATGGGGCAGGGAAATACTTTTTGTGGGTAGTAAAGTTTAACTCCCTGAATGAACTGGTGGATTATCACCGGTCCACATCTGTCTCCCGGAACCAGCAGATCTTCTTACGTGACATCGAGCAGGTGCAACAGGTACACGGGGGAGACAGAGCCACAAGTTTAACACAGGTATATAGAGGGGGGCATTAGATGAAAGGTGTACATTTGTTTCTTGATAGCCTTTAAGGTTTTAATTATTTAAAAAAAAAACTGAACTTATTAACCACTTGCTGACCGTGGTGTTTACACCCCCTTCCTGTCCAGGCCATTTTTCAGTATTCAGCGCTGCGGTACTTTGACATTTATTCCGTCGTGCAACGCTGTACTGAAATGAGTTTTATACCATTTTTTGGGGACAGATAGAGCTTTCTTTTGGTGGTATTTAATCACCACTGCGGTTTTTATTTTTTACTATATAATGAAAAAAGTATCGAAAATTTCAAAAAAAAAAACTTTTCCCTAAGTTATGTTATAAAACAATTATTATTACCCACATTTTTGGCAAAATATAAAAGACGGGGTCACGTCGGGTAAATAGACACCAAACATGTCGAGCTTTAAAATTGCGTACGCCCGCGAACTCGCAAAAACTACCATACCCAAAATTGGCCCTAGGCGACGCTTTAAAAGCTTTTACCGCTCATCAGTTTAGTGTTATCAGTGATTGATGGCCCTAGAATTATTGCTCTCACTGCGACGTTCGCGGCGATATGTAACCTGTGCGACGTAATGAATGCAAACATTCGTTTCCACACGTAGGTGCACTCGACGCATGTTTGCATGTGTATGTGGGGGGCGAGGGACTTTAAATGTTTTTTTTTTTTTTACCTTTTGTATGTGACTTAATTTTGTGATATTTTTTTTGGTAACTTCTTTTAAACCTTTTTTTTTCACTTAACTTCATTGCTCTCACATAGGGGACTAACAAGCCCCCTTTGTGATAGCCAATTTTCAGTGACAGGTCCTCTTTATGGAGACAGGGGTCTTTAAGACCCCTAACGTCACCTAGGGACCCCCAGAGAAGCTGATGAAGCAAACACCTACTTCACCAGCTTCTCTCCGGTTTCTGTACCGCAGAGTGACAGAGGAATGCGGAAGTGATGTAATACACACCACTTTCTACATTCCGAAGAGGAGGAGGAGATCAAACGGAGATCGTGTACTGATCTCCGGCCGCAGAGCTGCTGTGCTGGTCCCGGGCTCACACCAGGCACAGCGGAGCTCGGGATCGCCAGCAGCGGCTGCAACGGAGGGGACCGCACACCCGCACGCATATTACAAGCAATCGGGCGTCTCTACAGACGCCCGAACGCTTGTATGTAAACAGCCATCGCTCTGCGTGCACGAGCGGGGCGGGATGGGATGTTTAAAAACGCCCACCCGCATTCAAGAAGCCGCTGTCCGGCCGTTTAATTACAACGGCCGGACTGCAGGTGGTTAAACAATGTAGTCTTTCACACTGAGCCTTAATGTGTATTGGGTTTGGCTTTCAAATTTCTTGGTTATTTCAGATGTATATTGTGTGTACAGTTTTTAGGTTAAACCAACTTGATTCAGATGATTTAGAATGCGCATTTAAGATTATACATAATAACCTCTGAATTTTCCACCCCGACAGCAACCTACCTATGTGCAGGCACTGTTTGACTTTGACCCCCAGGAAGATGGGGAGCTTGGATTCAGAAGAGGAGACTTCATCCAGGTCGTGGACAACTCAGACCCCAACTGGTGGAAAGGGACATGTCACGGCCAAACCGGCATGTTTCCACGCAACTATGTGACACCAGTAAACCGCAACCTGTAACTAGAGCCTGCACAGGACCACAAGCCAAGGAGGAGCACAGACAAACTTACCTGGGTGGGATTGCTGGGGGACTAAGAGGCATATGGATAGAATTTGGGCAAACGGACAAATGGATAACTTAATAGAAGAACATGAACAGACAACACACTGACCTAGAAGAAAGTAACCTTAGTCCATTAATTCAGGGAAGCAGTTCCATTACATGGCAGGGGTTAGTGCAGGAGTATAATAGACTTGAATGGGCTGGGATTTCTTATGGGCTGACAGAAATGCGATTTAGGGAAAGAGATAATAAAATACTGGCACTAGACATAGACAGAAAAATGGACAAGACACAGTCCCTGACATGTGCTGACTAACTAACCCAGTTGTCTGTCTGTGCTGTATACAGTCGCCTTTCAGCATTTTTTTTGAAGCAAGAATGTCCCCTTGGCTCTGTGTGGAACTTAATTTGGGGTGGGT